TTCCAGGCGCATCTTCTGTTCTGCTGGTGATGTTGCACTATTTTGACTGACTGCTTTTTTGCCTCCATTCATTGGCAGGTTTCGTCTTCTGTTCCGGGAATTGTGAGCAGCGCTGTTGTGGCGATGACACGTGCCCCTTCGGCTTCACCTGCCTACCTGATGGGTCAGATTGCGTCAACCAGAGCGACTGTCTCATCTATGATTGTGCTGGCAAACTAAAAACTTGCTCTTACAATAGCACCGTTTGCACGGTGGGTTTGGTTTGCAGATGATTTTTTTCAATGAGCCCCTTGCTAGCCGACGCCATGCCTTACTTCCGTACTGAGCTATTATCATCAATAGTGGGACTTAGCCTGAGAGCCCGCGCCACTTCTGCTCCCCGTCCCCATGCAGAACACATGCCCCGCCGATCCATGCCCCCCTGGATACGTACGTATTTAGGGTTTAGGGTTTGGATTTGGGTTGTGTCTGCGAAACGTCCCTCTTGAGAACTGGCCTCATGATCCATGAGGAAGGGGCGCGGCCATTGTTGTCAGGAACCTGCCATTTCCTGCTTCAAACAAAAACCTGCCGTAGTTTTGCACATTTTGCCACATTTATCCCAAACATTTCTCCAAATTGCTTTGCATTTCCCCTCCTCCTACCCCCTGCCATCCTTGTGTGTGGCACACATGCTGATGTCAGCAAGAAATGGGATTGATGAGGGCCAGTGTTGCCGGTGATCTGTCCATGCTGCTGCCCTGGCACAGTGACTCCCCCGGTTCCCTTGAGTAGGGCCCAGGCATCTTTTGCCCGGCCTTGGCTCCCGACCCACCCCCTCCCCCCGCAGGTAAGAGCAGCGTCAGCGTCAGCAAGCAGCGGTCAGCGGCAGCCCCACCACCCCCACCTCCACCTCACACACTCACTGGCCCCTTGCGCGATGGCACGCCGGCATGTTGGTAAAGGTAAAGGTAAAGGTGGGGAAGAGCCTCCACAGGCTTAACTTCCCGGTTTTAACGTCTAGCTTTAGACCATTATTTGATCTGCCCGACGCGCCAAGTGCAGTACCCCCCACTAGTAGTGAATGGGTCCCGGGGAGGCCTGTGCCGAAGCCTTGGCGATTCTATTAGGCGTTCCCGAAGGAATTGGCTTGGATTGGCGCTGAGCCGGTCAGCTATGCCGCGTTTGTCCTCACAAAGTTTCGACATGGGAGGAATCGAACCTGTGCCCTCTCGGAGGGTTTAGACACTAGCTCCAGCGCCTTCAAAGAAGGCCTTTCTTAGCCGCGCATTGTTGGCATGGGAACGCCAAGCCCGGCACGGTAGCGGCGGCTGACTGAGTAATGGCACTAG